TCTTGAATTGTATGTTCAATGCCTCCATGCCTTCTTTTGGAGTGAGCTTCAGATGGTGTAATTAAAGTTACGTGCGGACAAACCAGTGTCTACATTAGGTGTGGGTCAGAAAAACCTGAGTCTGGGTTATGAGATTTTTGAAGCCAAGCAACCTAGGGTGTGAAACAAAGAAATTGGATTATGTTTTGAAGCTAAGAAGGTAAAGATGTAAAAAGCACAGGACATCCGTGGTTCTATAATTATATTTTGCAGAATTGTTTTCAACCCTGGTCGCTTTTGGGTCTCTTAAAGATTTCTTACTTTGTACCCCTCAAGCTTCCATAATATATAGGATTTAAGAGAATAACAGAGTTGAAAGGGACCTTGGAGGTCATCTAGTCCAACCTCCTGCTCAAGCAGGAAACCCTATATCATTTCAAACAAATGCTTGTGCAACCTCTTCTTAAAAACCTCCAGTGATGGAGCACTGCACAACTTCTGGAGGCAAGTCGTTCCACTGATTAATTGTTCTCATTGTCAATAAATTTCTCCTTATTTCTAGGTTGGTTCTTTCCTTGATTCTTTTCCATCCGTTGCTTCTTCTCCTGCCTTCAGATGCTTTGGAGAAATAAAGGAACTCCCCTCTTCTTTGTGGCAGCTCCTTAGATATTGGAAGAGGTTGCCACATTTCCAGCTAAGATTTCCAGCGAAGTGCTTTGATAGTCATCCCCCCACCTTCTGTTTTATTGCCTTGCTAGTTCCTTTCACCTCTAAATACATTGAATTTGGGTTAAAATTGCACAGATGCTGATTCTCCATATTTAGACTGAAAAGACAAAGAGCTCAAAAAAGGCTACTTGGCATGCACTACAAATTGGATTCCCCAAAAATCCATTCGTATTTGTGTTTAATTTTTATTTAGTTCCCTTTTTTTCCCTTCTTTGACACCGGAGTGATGGTGGAAGAAGAGTATTCGCAGGCAAATAATTTTAGTAAGAGAACTGCTAACTACTGCTAAACTGTTCAGAATCTGCTGGTGAGGCAGAGTCGGTGATAAATAAATATGAGGGTGAAGGTTTGTTCTCCGAGCTTGTGGGCTGGTTTCCAAATGTCTCGTTACCAGTGTAGGTAACATTTTCAGCGGAGTGTCTCTGTTGATTCTCAGTCATCCAGGGCACGGTTGTCCCAAAGGTGCTTTTTCAGGAGGCAACTGGACTTTCTTGTTTTTCTTTGAAAACATTTCGCTTCTTATAGAAGAAGCTTCTTCAGCTCTGACCGGATGGTGGGGAATGGAAGCATTTATATTCCTTGCAGACAGCTGGGGACACAGGTAAATCTCCAAATGGATTTAAGGACTCTCTAAAAAAATGCAAATGACCAGCTGGCCATGTGATTAGTTATTCATTTGGAGCTATATTTAACTTCTGAGCAGTTGATTGGTTCTCTTGTTGATTGGTCATTCCAAAGAGTTGGTTTCTTATGTATTCGTTTGCTGGAACTAAATCAATATGCTTGTTAATTGCTCCTTTGGTAGAATACCAGGCTTCAATAAATTCACATGTGTGGCAGGTGTTGGCATGGCCAATGATTTTTGTTCCTTCCCAGTTGAACTAGTGTTTTCCGTTGTCAATGTGGCTTGAGAACAGGGATTTTTGGTCATGCCATTTAACTGGTAGTCGATATTCATGAACCCTTGCTTTCAATTGCCCTCCTGTTTGATCTAGACTTTCGTTTTTACTCAAGCTATAGAATTATGGATTGGCAAGAATGTCTAAGTCATTAGCTCTTCATTATAATCAACCATGGAGAAGATCTTTGGCACCTATCAGAAAGCATATCTGTGCACAGGTATCCAATGTCTATGGAGATTCTCTGTCATCCAGGTCATGGTTGTCCCAAAGGTGCTTTTTCAAGAGGCAACTGGACTTTGTTTTTTCTTTGAAAATGTTTGGCTTCTCATCCAAGAAGCTTCTTCAGCTCTGACTGGATGGTGGGGAATGAAAGGATTTATATTCAGGTATCCAGTGATGTAACCATTAGACAGGTGAACTCATCTCATCTAAAATCTCATCTCATTAAAGTGCACACCTCATACAACAGAGGTATGCCCTCTGACTTCTCTGAAGCTTTAGCTTCTCAGTGACACACACTTTGGACCTAGACCCACCATCTACCCACAATTGGCTACAGATTGTTTTAGAACAATGAATGATTCCTGATATCAAAGACTTCCAGGACATTTCTACATAACAGAAGTCTTTAGTTCTATTTCACTTCTGCTTCTTGATTTAAACCTATCTTCCTGCTTGGCCTAAGATGACCTCCTTAGATGACTTCTCTTTCAGTTGAAAGAGAAGCTTAAACTATTTAAGTTTATTCTAGCATTTGCCATCACAGAACCACTAGGGTTAAAGTAGCCCACTTATTCATTTTTTTTCCAATGAGTTTTAATTTAAAGGATGGAACGCCCCAGTTATTTGCTTTATCGCTTGCCTTCTCTTCTGACAGTTGCACTAACAGATCTGGTTCTATTTATGCAATGAAATTTATGAGACTTTACCATGGGGAAAGCTCATCTATCTGCCGACCCACGTCAGCAGAATTATAAATCTGTCAAAGCCACAGTATTTCCAAAGTGACCTATGCTGGCTGTAAAAACCAGTGCAAATGCTCGAATAATGTATGACAAGCAATGAAACAATTCTTGGCGAATAATAATAGCACTGCAAAATAAAAGAGTGCCATACTCTGGTGTCTTTAGAATAATGAAGGACTTCTACTGTATTCCAGCTTCCTTGAGTTCAGTTAAATATTGTGTTGTAGAGATTTTCTTATATATATATATATATATATATATATATATATATATATATATATATATATATATATGTATATATATATATATATATATATATTGTCAAAATAATGATCACCAAGAGAATATCTATCAAAAATAGAATTTAATCCACCAAGCTTTCGTCAAATACATTTGACATCGTCAGGGTTAAAAGGCAAACGTCGGGGGAAGTCTTATATACAGTTGTTTAATGCCTGTTTCCGGCTCCTGGAGCATGTCATCGGCCCCAGCTGATCGAGTTGAGTCCCAAGCACACACCCCCCCATCAGCACCCATCCTCTTTCCATTGCTAATTTGCATTCTGTCATACGTTACTCCGTTAGCTGTTTCAGAGTTGGTCAGGCTGGGGGTCAGGATATATATATATTATCTAGAGCGCTGTATGCTACACCCTGTTGACCCAAATATGGGAGAGAGAAATCTTTTGCCTTGTATCAGCTCAAACTAGAGCCATCCACAGGCAGCAGTCGCAACTGCAACACCATATATATTTCTAAAATTTGGATTTGAATTAAGGGAGAACTGGAATAGCTATTTCGAACTCTTTAGTTCTTTTCAACCAGACATACTCTTTCTGAGATTCAGCCCAGGTTTGAATCTCAGAAAGGGTATGTCTGGTTGAAAAGAACTAAAGAGTTCGAAATAACTATTCCAGTTCTCCCTTAATTCTTTGCTAGCAATCCAAATTTTAGATAGATAGATAGATAGATAGATAGATAGATAGATAGATAGATAGATAGATAGATAGATAGATAGATAGATAGATGGATGGATGGATGGATGGATGGATGGATGGATGGATGGATGGATGGATAGATAGATAGATATCTTTGCATTTAGAGGATCAACATTAATTTGCCTTCCTTTTTTCTAAGATCTCAGAAAGAATTAAACTTTTACCACCAGTAAATAGAAACCACTAATTTTGAAGACTGCAAGGCTTGTCACCATGATGGACAAAGATAACTCAGAGTGATCCCTCAAGCATACCAGAGTACCTCTGGGGTTCTTGCAGGATTAGCAGCCAGGAAATCATAGTCATTCTCTTAGGACTTTAGAAGAGTCCTGCTTGTTGGGAAATTGCCAGCTAGGCTAGAAGGAAGGAGGGAGAGGTCAAGTGAGGTTTTAGCTTGGAATCCGCACACAGTTGCCAAGATCCCTGAAGCCTTACCTGGTCAATCCCTGGGGAACGTGAGCAGTTTGGTGAGATTCTTTAATATAGATGGTAAACAATAAAATTACTGACTTTTGCTCTTCACAAGTAGTTCTGATTACTTGCACTTGACATGGCTGGTCTTTTTTGAGAAAATGTGAAGTGCCAGAGAAAAATTGGAAACCATTCAGGAAAATGTTTCTAAAAGCATATTTAAATACTAAATGTTTAAATTTGCTTTTTAATTTGCTACCTTCATTTTTCCTCTGGGTTTTTTTTTTTTTTTTGGCCCCCTAAACATACACCTATCTGCTGATGGCCAAAAGTCCAAGTATTCTAATATTACATATTCTAATCATTGTCTACCTAGGCATATTAATTGTAGAAAAGCTCCAGGATCTTGCAGAGGTATACAATTACATGTGGTTTGGCACACACACACACACACACACACACACAAACACACAATCTACATGGCAAAGTTTTCGGCACCACTCAGAGATTTATTACATGTTTCATCTGAATAAAAAAAAAGTGATGGTGGGGGAGAGAATTATTCTGTACATGGCTGAAGAGGAACTATTTAAACTGAAATGATTGAAACTTTGTTTTATGTTCTACTCTTGTCTGCTATCTTTGAAAGAATATCAGTGTGCCATTCAGATCTGTGTGGGGTTTTCAGCTCAGAAAAGTCAAAAATATTCACCTGGTAATTATTTTGAAAATTTGATCTGAAAAGGAAGGAATGCAATGCTTTGTTGTTACCAAGGCTACTTGGATCATTCACCATAAATACATTATTAACTAATTAGCTTTAACTAATGGGTTGCCAAGGAATCCAAGGTAAACGTCTGCAAATTAAATTGAGGTCAATTAACAGTTCCAGAATAAATCTGTACCGCTTCTGCCTCTAGGATCTTGGTGGGGTCTGCATTGACCTTCAATCTTTTCCAGCACAATTTTTTTACACTTTCATAGACTCTCAGAATGCAGAGGTGAAAAGAAATGTACCTGCTTTTCAACAGCTTCATTTCATATTCTTGAACCAAGATGTCAGCAAGAACATAGCCATCCTTCCAGATGTTCACTTCTCCAAATTCTGCAATGAATCTTTAAAAAATGGGTATAAATGTATATGTTTCTTTGGTGAACATTTTACACAGAACTACTTAACGTAAGGGAGATTAGCATGTGTTTGAACAATACAATCAATGTATTTATAAGACAAACCTGCTTCCTAAGGTTCATAAAACACATTTTTTTAAAAATCGGTGAAATGAAAACTGGAGAAATCAAAGGCCAAAATCAGCCTATTCCAAAATGATGTTATTAAATCATCTAATAACCCACAATATGATCATTTTGATTTCAGCATTTGATGACTTAGGTTTTTCTTCTTTTGCTATGATTATTCCCACTCTACCTCCTCTTATCTAGATTTGATACTCCAGAATTTTTTCTAATCTACCATGGTCTCCTTCAATATACTTTGTGTCAGTTCCCCCCTCCCTCCCAAAAATAACCTATAATGGGATTTGAGAATATCTTTAAGGAACAAGAGGAAGAGCCAAACCAAGATAAGAGAAATCTGAGTCTAAAATAGGAATCTAATTTGAGAAAACTTCTTAGGCTTAATTCTCTCTAGTTGTCTTATAGATAAAAGAGAGGAAAGGATTCCTTCTGTTCCCGTAACAAAGTTATTAAGTTACTATTCACAACTTTGATTTTGCAGTCCGGTCTACTTCAAAGGCCTGACACAAAGACACACAACTGGCTCTAACTGCAAGCAAACATCACTACAGGGGTACCTTGAAACTCATTGTTAATTGGTTCTGGGAGGTGCAAAGAGTAGCAAAAATGATAAGTACCAAACAAATGTTTCCCATAAGGAATAAGACAGTGAGTCACAAGAGAGCTGACACGACACATTTTAGCTTGTGAGTTGAGTACCAAACAAACGATAAGTACAGGGACAAAATTTTCACATCAAAATGTGTCGAGTATCAAAGTCGATCAATTTCAGAGCCGTTGAACGCAAAGGCACCACTGTACTTCGAAATATCTTAAGAAACTATTTATATTGCAGGATCTGTGGTACAGTTATTGTAAATTAGTGCCATCGCTGCAAATGAATTCCATTTCTGGAGGCACATGGCCCAACAAATCTCTCTCTCTCTCTTTCTCTCATGTTCTAAGATTATGAAGGATTTGTTTTATATCGGCAGAACCATCAACGTCTACGTCTTTAGAGTGCTCTTCAGTCCAAATCTCATCAAACAAAGATTAATTCTATTAAACAATTAGGTACATTGGGTCTTTGGATTGTGTTCTGCTAAATGCTGTGAGGAAGTAACCCAGGCAGGGCATGCAGCAAAATTTAAATGTTAAATATACTTAATCATTTTTTTCTTAGATATTTTCAGACAAATGACAATTAGATTTTCTCACCCACATTTTTTCTACATTTGCAAAGCTTGTGCAATGCTGATGAGCTGGGTTCATATTGGTGGGTCAAAAGCTAGACAGACCTGACCTTTGTTGATTCTAAGTCAAAGAAGATGCAACAGTAAGGGTGAAATTTAACTAAACCTTACAAAACACACAGGGATGGCACTCACTGGACGAAAATCCACGAAGTGGAACTGATGAGCAAAAGGCCGTTCTGGAGATCAGAAGCAACAATTGCTCACTTTGGTAGAACTTGGCCAGCTGCAAAATGTCCCAACACCTTGGAGGTGCTCACCAGGAAATTCCAGAGCTAAAAAGGTTAAAAAAAAAAATCATTATGAAACAATGCAGAGGTCAGCTGCTTCTGTACTATTGTCAAGAAAACTACACTGGCTATGTCTGCAAAAATCCCCAAAATTCGGAGGAATTCAAGGGATTGTTTATCTTTAACTGCAAAAGTGTCCTGATTCCAGACATATGTGTGCCAAAATACCTTGGAAAGAGGCCCATTTGTTCTTGCAAAAACTGTTGACAAACTAGGCAGTTGAGAGGTAGCAAAGTGATCGCTGCCTGTCTCTTTTGACTGATGTGTCTACAGGAGACACAAAAACACAGGCTTACAGAACGCTGACCTTGCACTGTGGGTGATCCGTCTTCACGGAACTTGTCATGTTCACACAAGCATCAATTTCACACACAAAAAAGAACCAGGCCTGTAAAACAAGAGGTCCTTGGACATCATTAAAGGGGGGGGGGGGATGTTCAAAAGCTTGGGAAGGATCTCACTGTACATTTTTTAAAAATCAGCACAATTTTCTGGCTGTGTTTCTTCTACCATCTAAGCCAGTGGTTCTCAACCTTTTTAATGCCGCGACCCCCCAACCGGTCGTAAGTCGAGGACTACTCAACTGGTGCAGCACCGTTTGCAGAATGGGACTTTTGGCGGGCTCAGCAGGGCAGAGACAGCCTGGACAATTCCTATTGGCTTTTGAAAGCCAATAGAATTAGACTCTATTCAAGAGAGTCTATTCTGTTGGCTTTCAAAAGCCAATAGAATAAAAGGGAGTAGCACAGATAAGGAAAAGGGGGAAAAAATGGCATACTGCATTGTTTGGCGACCCCCGTGAAATGGTCGTTCGACCCCAAATGGGGTCCCGACCCAGAGGTTGAGAACCACTGATCTAAGCTAATAAACATGAACTCAGGCTTCCCACTCTATGAATTTCCAAGGTTTTTCCCCCTCTGTCCTTTTAATCCATAGGGTTAAACACCCTTCATGTAAGCAAAAAATAAGTTTTAGTTCCAGAACCGGTGTAAAAAAGTGCTTAATCCTTCTCTCCTTCTCTTTTTTCAGCTCAGATGACTTCCCCAGCAAGCTGATTTTCTCTTTGCCTACACAAAGGGAAGTTTCATACAATCATATGGCTGGATGGTACCTTAGAGGTCTTCTACTCCAACCCACTACTCAAGGCAGGAATCCTTATTCCATCCCGGACAAATGGTTGCCCAATTTTTCCTAAAAACCCACCAGTGATGAAATTCCCACAACTCCAGGAGACGAGCCAATCCATTGTTTCAAGGGGAATAGCACCGTTTCTCTGTGAGTAAACCTATCAACGGATCCGACAGTTTCCATTAATGGATGGAAGGATTTATATCTCTTGCAGTCATCTGATCATTAGCACTCTCTCTGAGAATCATTGAGGCCACTTGGAGGTTTACTTGTGCCCTCAGGGTCACCTGCATCGCGCAAATGGGTGTGGAACCTTCTTGGAACTGCTGAAAGGACTGGGGGAATGTAAAGGAATATAAACCCTTCTATTCTCCACCCATTCAGTCAGAACTGAAGAAGCTTCTTGAATGAGAAGTGAAAGGTCTTCAAGGAAAAACAAGAAAGTCCAGTTGCCTTTTGAAAAAGCACCTTTGGGATTTCCGAGCGTCACATGCTCAGGAAGATAAATTTATCTCAGCATCTATTTCTGTTCTACTATCACAGCACCATTGAGAGTGTCCTGACATACGGCATTCTTGCATGGTATGGAAGTAGCTCTGTAGTGGACAAAAAAGCTCTACAGAGAATTATTAAAACTGCCCAGAATATTATCGGATTTCAGCTACCAGCCCTGGACAACATCTTCGAATCTCGTTGTTTGAGGAAGTTGTATAACATTCTCAGGGACTCTTCCCATCCTGTTTACAATCTTTTTGGACTGTTGCCTTCTGGCAGAAGATACAGAATGATTAAAACTCAGACCACACGTTTTCTGAATAGTTTTTATCCCAGAGCTATAGTTGCACTCAACAATGAACTAAAGGGCCACCATCAGTGAACTGTTGGACAGTATTACTTGGTCTGTTGTGTGGATGTTTGGGTGGTCTTAGGGGTGGGGAATTGTGGTGGGTGGGAGTGTGTTTGGGGATTATGTGTGTGGGACCTGGTCTTTGGGTGTCAAGTAAATTCCGTTGTATGTGTACACTGTATACACATACAATGACAATAAAGTTTACATTTATATTATTATACATTATACGTGGATTCAGTCAGTCTGTTGGATCTTCTCTACACTGTTGGTTTTGAAGCTGAGAATGGAGAACTGCTACTACGACTGAGAGAAGTTAGTGATACGCTAACTTAAGTGATGATGTGTTCCTATACTATTGATGTAAGAGCCCAACTTTCACGTTTTATGTGGCATGGGGGTGGATATCTCCAAAGAAACTTGAAGCTGTCGTCAGGTTTGGCCTTCAGGGTATCCTTGTTAAAAAGAGATGCGGTTTCTCTCAAGTAGTTCTTTTCTATTTTTGTTATGCCCTATCTAATTCTGCCTACCAGTAGGAAGAAGGAGAGTTGAAATCCATGGGATGATTTAATTGCTTTTGGCTTTGTTTGTTTGGTTGCTTTTGTTGTTTTTTGTTTTGTTTTGTTTTTTTAGTGTGGGTAAGCTGTTTTTATGTTTTGTACACACTGACAGTTCGAGCCGAGATTTCTCTCTGGATTCTGAAATGGTATTAAAAACAGCAGACAAACAGATCTGACGGGAAACATTGACTGATGTCCAATATTCACTTATTAAAGAATATAAATGAAGCAAGGAGGGTTGAAAGCGGACTTGATACGTCCATTTGGGATCATTTTTGGGAATGACAGGAATAGCAGCATATTATTAGATTGCCAGAAGACTGTTATTCTGAGCGATGCCAAGTGAATCAATATAATTCTGTCAGGGCGGGGGGAAAGGGGAGGCGAAAAAGGAAGGGGTGAGCAAAAATAAAGAAGTACGCATTGCCAGAATTTAAAAAAGAGATGAAATATCAGTCTTTGTCATCGTTGCTAGTCTTTTGGGATGAGGCAGAGGTGGGATATTCTTCAGCCACTGTATATAAGTAGTTCCTGACTTACAACAATTCATTTAGTGACTGTTGAAAGTTACAACAACACTGGAAAAAAAGGACTTATAACCGTTTTTCACACTTACGACCATTGCAGCATCCCCAGGGTCAGGTGATCAAAATTCAGACGCTTGGCAACTGATTCGTACTTATGACGGTCGCAGGGTCCTCGGGGGGGTGTCATGTGATCCCCCTTTGTGAACTTCTTACAAGCAGAAGCCACATTCACTTAACAAGCATGTTACTAACTGAACAACTACTTAACCACTAGGATAAGAAAGGTCATAAAATGGGGCAAAATTCACTTAACAAAAGACTCGCTTAGCAACAGAAATTTTGGGCTCCATTGTGGTCCTAATTTGAGGACTTCCTGTAAATAAATCAGAGACCTTCGAACTTCAAACGTTCTTCCATTCAGTCCAGAAGTCAGGCTAAACATTTCCAATGAATCTGAAGCTGAGATAGATACTATTCAGAGTTGTTTTGGTGGGATGGCACAGGAAACGGGGATGTATAAAAATAAAAAAATAAAAAAAGATAAGAAATAAAAAAGGAAACACAGGGAAAGAGGATAGAGGTTCACACTGGCGAAGAGTAAGCCATGGAAAAAGGGAATGTGTTCAGGTTGTGCCTGTCCCGAACCTTCTTTTCAACCGATAATTACAATTCTTATTGTCCCTGCTACCTCTTAAGTTACAAAGTTCCTTCACCTCTTCATTTATTTACTTCTCATCTTTCTTAGTCTTCAAATCATCCGTTCGTTTATTCTTCTTTCAGGAAAAAGGTGAATAAGGATTCCGGTTGCACAATAAAGTTTTTTGTTCTTTGTTCGTTGACCAAACAGGTCAGCTTCACTATTTCTGCAAATTCTGATGTTTACATAATTGATTCCTCTTGACTGTGGGTGCTTCATTATTCTTCCATTGGCATGTCTACCTTTCTCACAGCCTCCAACCCTTGTATTTTGCAGCATGCAGAAAAGCATTTGGACACGGAAACTGTATGGGAAGTTTATCCAGCATCACTAGGAGCATGATTGCTCAAGTGGTTGGGATGCCTGCATTGGAGATCTGCTGTGGGCAGGGTTGAGCTCCCATCCTTCATTCTAGCTCCAGCTGAGGACATAAAAAGTGTCCCTAACTGGGTATCCCTAGGCCAGGGGTAGGCAACCTTGGCTCTTTTATGATTCGTGGACTTCAACTCCCAGAATTTCTGAGCCAGCACGGCTCAGCTTGGAAACCTCTCCCTTTCGCCTCAGCATGGCTGGCTCAGGAATTCTGGGAGTTGAAGTCCACGAGTCATAAAAGAGCCAAGGTTGCCTACCCCTGCCCTAGGGCAACAGTGATGTCACTGGATAATGTTTTCAACTCAGAAGCACCTTGGTGCTTTGGACCCGAGTGTAAAAAAAATCCAGCATCACTTAATCAAATGGAGGCTGAGATGTGTGACCAGGGATCACCAAAATCTGATTCCACGGCAATGGATGATCTCTTTCAGAGGTTTCAAGAAGATGTCAATAGCATTTAGCAAAAGCACTTAGACTTATATACCTCTTCACAGTGCTTTACAGCCCTCTCTAAGCGGTTTACAGAGTCAGCGTGTTGCCCCCAACAATCTGGGTCCTCATTTTACTGACCTCGGAAGGATGGAAGGCTGAATCAATCTTGAGCCAGTCAGAATCGAACTGCGGAACTGCTGGCAGGCAGCAGTCAGAAGTAGCCTGCAGTACCCCATTCTAACCAGTGCACCTCCACGGCTCAAACAGAGGCGGGATGATCCTGGATTCCCACAGCACTACCAGGTTGATAGCCCTGGGCTCAATCTTCTCCTCTCTGGAGCAATTTACCCCTGCCTTCATCATATCTCCTTGGATATACTTTTCCCCAAGAGCTAGTCAAAAAAATGCTTCTGGTTTT